GGAGGTTTAGTTGGAGTAGACAAACATCGCTTTCAAAGGGTTTCTTTTATTACTTCCATGACTCTACCACTGAATTATATTTTCGTTCTGCTACTCGCCAATATCGATGTTATTCCAAAACAAAAACATCTAAGTACTGTCTAAAACACGAAGGAAAATCTCATCCATGTCATCCATGGCAAAACTAAAAGACAGCAGATCGTGTTTCATAACTAGATGACGTGCATTTTATAAACGCGTGCAGCTCGTGCAAGGTGAAATTATGCTAATTTCAATCACCATCATCCTTCTTTTTAATTTTGAAAAAAAACATCTCATACGTCTTTCTGTTTCTTCGAAACTTCAAAATTAGTTTTCCCTCAGTTTTTACTGTTTACCTTGTTTTGTTTTAGAGAGAAAAACGGAGAAAAAACCTTACAACTAACCTCAATAAATTTTGTTTACATGCGGTTGCCGGATTTGCAACGCATTGCGCGAATCGCCATGGCGCGTTGCACCCGAGAAGCAAAGTTTCAAGAAATATAACGCCACTATATCAAAATATATCAATCTAATTTTTTGTTATGTTATACAAAATTTATCCCCCTTTAACATATGTATAAATTGAGGTTAAGAAGTGTTAAGCTTTTGCAAACGAAACGGCGAAAGACGATTAGATGATATTTAGTGGAAGGAGGAGGTATTCAACACTTTCAAATTAAACTCAAATTTTGGCATTATACGACCAACAAGTTTGACTTATAGACGTACAGAGACAAACACATGAAATTGTTAATTGATGTTGTTATGAAACGAATTTATCTATGTAACATTGTAGCCTGAAATTACAAAAAGAAAATAGGATTTCCGCTTTGCAAAAAGGAAAATTTCGCCGGCCTTGAAGCGCACCGGAAGCGCGGAAAGAGCGGTCGTGCCAGTCCTACTCCGCATCACACATTAAATGAAGAGCGGAGCGCTCGTTTCACCGCCCAACCTTTATCCGCCCTGCTCGAAGCTATGTTTACACGGACTACAAAAGAAGCCGCTTTGTCACTGTTTCGTGATTTCGGGATTTTCTCGCAAGAACAACTTTGCCTATAAATAGAAGTTAAAAGGAAGGCAAACATTTTCAAAAATTGTACGTGCCAGCAACTTAACAAGGCAAAGAACACTGCAGATAAACAACTTTCTCATTCGCGGTGAGTTTACAGAAACAAATAAAGCTCTACTTTTCTTCTCATATAATTGGGCATTAATTTCGATTTTCCGCGTTTTCTTTTTAACCGTTGATGCTAAAGCTTACAAAAATCGATACAAAAAGATTAAAACTATCAATTGCCATGTTTAAAGGTACTGTCAAAGTCTAACTTTTGCGCATCCACTGTTTTACGGCTTCGCCGTGTTCACGCATGAATTCACCCGTCAATCAAACTAATCGTTTTCTTTTTTGATGGTTTCCTTTCTGATTCTGTTGAGATCACTTCGTGTGAATATGCTAAAACAATTATTCACCTTAGGCTCAGTTAATATTGTTGAATAATCCCCTCGACTTCGTCTAGGGGGTTATTCAACAATATTAACTTCACCTTCGGTGAATAATTGTTAATCATCGTGTGAATTTCACGGCTGCTGTTGTCCTTTATTATTTGAGCAACTGACAATGATTTGTATCAGTGGTACTAAAAAGCTGATTTCAGTAAAATGCATGCGTACTCGGCGTCGAGATGGGCAACCTCTGACCTCAGAGAAACTTACCGCAATCCCTGGACGCCGTTTTCCTGGTCTCAGTATAGATTAAATATATCGGTCATTCAATCGCATATTTTCAGTCAAATATTTACTTCCCTTGGTCTGCATGGTTTTCACTGACCATTTTTTAGGACTGAGTGAAGCAATAACATATTCTTTAGCTGTGAACAGCTGCATAAATACCTTTAGCGTTTAAGTTAAAATATAATTTCTCATTTAAATTCTGATATAACAAACTGTCAAAAGCGAAATTGTTTTAGTATATTGGAAAGTCTTAGATACTTGTTGCACCAAAACGGTTAACGATTCGTCAGGATACAAACACTGGTCGAGAGCAGCGGAACTAGTGATCACAACTATGAAGGCCATTCTGCTCAGTTTTGTTGTACTGTTTTTAGTGGTTGATCAGTTTGCTCCTTTAATTACAGGTTATATATTGTTTCTTATAGACTCCTATAAAAAAGACTCATGTAATATGGAATCCAACCACAAAAGTATTTCATTGAGTCATTGTGTGGCAGCGCCAGACAAACTGCCATGCCCTTTACCATACAATGTTTTTTTACAGGAACGTCTAATTTTGGGCTGAAGCTGAACTCATTTATTCACTTCCCTTTTTTGTGATTATAACGCCCTGATCATGTTTTTATTTCATTTTGGAACGGCTCTTCTATAATTAATAAGAACTGTTCAAAGAATTGAACGGCTCAGTTTTCTTTCGTCAAGTTTTATTTTTGAAGTTTTTGACGTTTAAGTACTGATTAAGTTCGACTACAAACTAAGTTGTTCTCCAGTGTATCACGCAGTAATAAAAGAGTTTTAAAAAGATGAGTAAATTGTTCCGTCAGAATACAGATCAGTTTTACATTTCTTTTACCGTTACTTATGCTACTCGCAAAAAAAAAAAAAAGCAAAATACAAGACGTTCATAACTGATTCTCTCTACCTGGGAATATTCTTAGTATGTTCTTAAAATTATATAAATATTTTTTATTTACATATACAAAGGGGTCTTATATATAAAAAAGAATGCATATAACTGAGTTCGTTCTACTCGCGCGACTGACATGACACTGATTGAAATTCACAAAAAAAGGCGACCGGACGTGTAAATAATACATTATGTTTCCATTTTTCTTTGTAAAGGTTTTGACACATCTTAAATTTGCTTGTCTTAGCATCTATTTATTTTTCAGGGACCTGTCCTCTGTACTCTCCACCAACAAATGGCGCTTTGGTGTGCAACTACATTGGATCGTACCCGACTTGCCAAGTTCAATGTAAACAAGGCTATGACTTTGAGTTCACTCCTCTCTTTGCTTATTACTGCTCTGGAGGAAATTGGCACATGTTCTCAATTGGTCCTTATGATCCAAAGCTACCATGGCCAAGCTCCAAAAGTAAGTGCGATTAATTTCTCGTTAATATCATAGGTGACGAATCACTCCTTAATTTTGGCGCGAAATTTCAGCGTTAATTTGTAATTTCACATGTGAAATTACAAAATTGTCATGGCAACCTTCCGTACGTCTCAGTGTCAAGATGGCGACGAAGTTTTAGAGTGAATGAAGATGTCAGGGCAAAAAAAGACGCTTTAGAAAACCTGAACACACAAGAGAACCTCAAGAAGGATTGCCGAAATAGTCTGAAAAATTCTGAGCTTTATAAGCCAAATTTAAGGTCTAAACATTTGAGAGAGTGGACTTCTCGATCGATACGATCCAGGATAAACATGTCAAAAATCCAAGATTGCTAAGGTAATTCCTCACCCATGATATTAATAGGTAATCAAATGGTATACTCGTGAAATCAGGGAATAATTTCACTTGCGTTTTGTCCACATCCTAATATTTTCCCTCGCCTTTCACTCGTCACCATTTGATTACACATACTAACCGTATCTGCTGATTACGAGCCTTGGGCTCACACATTTGCGTTACGGTTTTTAGGAGGGCTTATAACGGAGGGGCTTATATTCCATGGGGCTTTTAACCGGAACAAAAAAACATGCTTCGAAACAAGCTACAAAAATGCTGATCAAAATGCGTCCTTAATTTTTACTGTTTTTTTGTTTCTGTTTTTCTTTTTTTTTTTTCAATTTCAAAACTTCTTAATAAATCTAATTCGTTTCCATACAAGCTATCCAGGGGGCTTAGAATCGGATGTATTTTTTTGTTATTGTTTACATAAAGATGGGCCAACTGGAAGAGGGGCTTATAAAACAGCCGAAGTATAAGCGTTTTTAAAGATGTACTACCACAAGCAAAATTTTGCCTTATGAATTTATTCATAGATAGGTGTCCCCTGTGGGTCTTAAGGACATTAAACCATTGGAAAAGTACAAAGTGGAGCCTCACGGTTTGCCTTAAAAGCAAAAGCGTGGTAATATATAAAGACTGCTGCCGCTTACTGAATTGGCAAACTCTGGAGAAACGTAGGGAGTTCTTATCTCTGGTTCAGTGCTACAAGATAGTTTTTGGAGTAGATAGCCTTTCTTTTTTTGGACTTTTTTGAGCCTACTAAGTGTAGCAAACAAGAGCCAATCACGATTGTAAACTGAATGTGAAAATTTTCACCCGATATTGCTACAAGTATTGCGTATGGATTGTTAATGTTTGGAATAACCTGCCTAAAAAAGTCGTATATTTCGCAACACTGAGATTGAGGATTTTTATGCTGTAAATATCAATTACCATGATTGTAAGCATGGAGTTACGACTATGATATGTAAAGAACTTTTTTCAGTTTTCAGATTCGGTCACTTACATAGGGTTAACCTCAAGAGTCTCCCCTTTCGAGTGGACAACTGATTGTACTCGAACACGTCATCATCCTTCAGGAGACAGTCCCAAGCAAGTTGTCTTATCTCTTGAGTAAAGTGTACGGTAGTTATTATTTGTTATTAAAATATTAGACCAAAATATAAATTGTTCTCAACAGAGACGGTGAACCCGAGCAATTTATGGCTGAGAAATTTTCCATTTTTCTACTTTCCTGGAGACTGTAAAGATACCAACAAAGCGGCATCAGTAAAGGACAATTTCCTGAATCTCATGAACAATGGCCCAGTACTTCCTCTGTTTTGTAAAAGCAATCCTCTTGAGTGCAACAAAAATACAGTACAAGCCTATTTTGGCGATGTAACTGCTGAGAAAAGAAGACGCAAACGTATTGCTGTCAAACTGGTATGAATAACTTTCCCATGTTAGGCCCATCTTAAAGTTGTCAGGCAAGGTTTGCTTGTCAAACAAGGCCCGTAACAAGTCTCCTTGTGCTCAAATGCATAACTGCAAAAAACAAATTCCTGCCACTACAGGAGAATAAATATAGTACAAATGATTAATGCTAGCCCCTTTGCAGATCTACCTCGGGCGTTTTTTTTTTCTTAAAACTTTGATTGAGAAGTTAAATTGCAATTACCACTGCGACGATCATATCCTCATTCAAAACTTTGACCATTTAATAGGCCATTTGCACGATGGCGCCATTTTACTATTCCGACCAGAATCCTTCAGGGTATTGCTTTCTTGTGCAAATTAAGGCTTTTGTTATTTAAACCTCACTGGGACTACCAAATTTAAATATGAAAGGTAAAACGAAATGACTTCTGGTCTAAGTAGTAAAACGCGTCGTCTAGACCAAGTCAAATGCATTACTAAAATTATTACAGACCTTTAGGTTCTAATTAGCCGACCATTTGACTTTTGAGGGGTGTATGGGTGATTTGTTTGTGTAAGAATTTTTTTCCCAAACCTATGGTGAAAAAACATTTCTCCTGACTTACAAAGGTGTTAAATGTTTTTTCTGGAATTATACGCGAAATCAGTCTTCCCGATATTTTTTCCACCCAAGTTTTTACTTTCCTGGAGACTGTAAAGAGGGGTGTATGGGTGATTTTGTTTGTGTAAGAATTTTTTTCCCAAACCTATGGTGAAATAATATTTTTTCCTGACATACAACGGCGTAAGAATTTTTTTCCGTCATTATACGCCAATTTTTTCAGTGTAGGAATTTTTTTCGTCACGTATTTCCTTGCAAGAATTTTTCCCTCCAAATCAGTTTTCACGATATTTTTTTCTGAAATCACCCATATCCCCACAACCGCCCCCCGCCCCAAGTCAAATGGTTGACTCAAGAATGATTACGAGGACCAGATTTTCTCAAAAGCAAGTAGTGCGCGCGCGTGAACCAGTGTCATTTTGGCGGGAAAACTCGACAACCATCGTCTCTCGGTAAGAGTTATTGTTCAGCGAGATTATCGTAGTGGCGGAAACAAGTGATCATTTTGTCGTCGGAAGAAGGCTTAAACTGCTTCAGAAAAAAATGAACGGGCTAACTTTCCTGGTAAAAAAAGTATTATGAAGCTTTCGCGGTGTATTTTGAGAATACGCGAAAACATTAAGTTAAATCTTGTCTCGTAGTCGTCCTAAAGTGTAGGTCTCGAATCTAAAAGTCGATCTCTAGTACAGCAAAATCAATAACAACAACAACAAAGAAAAGTTAACCAAAAACAAATCATAATTACGGGCTAGAGCAAGTCAACAAGATTTAACTTAAAATAATATAGAGCATTTCTTTTACGTATTGTTTAAAATTAAGAGGAGAGTGAGTTTCTTTTTCGATAATTTGAAAACACGATTTAATATACACGTGGTATAAACCTTCCTCTAACGGAATATCTTTTATTATTTTAACTACTTCCACAGGAGTCTCAACAAGGAAAGAAAGTAAACAAAGTGACCAACGCTTAGAGAATTTATCTCCGGAACAAAAGCAAGTTCATTGTAATGACTATGAGTCACTGATAACAATTAGTGGGGGAAAAAAGGTTAAACCAACATATAATAAAACTTATAAATATACCCATCATGGTAAAGTGTCTTTTTTTTTGGCGATGCTCAATCATACACCACGTACCAAACTCTACAGTTTAGGAATTGCCGGGTCTCTGTACGGCATTTTCCTTGGACACTGAAATTTCGGTGATGCATTCGAGTCGGATCACATCTGCCGCGCGCAATAATGAGGCCTACAGACTAGGCAGCCTTTGGAACAAGTATTACTGGTTCGTAGCTGATAAACAAGAACTCTTCTGGGGATTGAAATCTCTTTTTTCTTCTCTATGCAAATTATGCTTAAAAAAGTGTACTGTTTTGTTAACCAACATGGTTTCCTTCTTACGTGGTTGCAAATTAAGAATAGGGCGTGGTTAATTCAACAAGTCTTTTGTAACTAGTTTATTTTACAAGATTTACTGTTGTTTTAAAGTCTAAAAAATATACGCACTGGTAAAAGTTGGCGGAATTTCTGTTGCTAGGTGTCCTTACTCTTAAGAGACGACGTGCCCAGATTTTGAAAATTTGGGCAAACTACTACCCACGAATAAAAAAAGGACCACCTCTGATTGACGTGCGTAGCTCACAATAGTCTTTCCTTAAGCTCCCTCTTTGTCATATAACTTGACTGCATGTGTCTTCCACTTTCACATAAAGCACTGCCTTGCTATACTGATTTTGGTTATTGGAGCAACACACAGAGAGCAACTATCGAATCGTAGCTATTGCTACCGAAATTTCACCTCGTTTTCTCACTAAAAGTTGATGTATCAGGATGTATTAAAAGCACTTTTCTTACGAGCAGAACTCATTTAGATCCAAACCTATCTACTCAGGTACGTTAAGGCATGCGTCCCCGATTATTCAGTCAAAAGGTAATGGGGGTTGGTCTATCTCTGAGCACTTAAGCATTAGAAAGATGAGACCTTGTTAGATACATACATGTGTGGTTTCTGTCAATTTGGTATTTTTCAATTATGAAAATGTTGTCACGCGTCTCTACACAGCCAGAAAACAATAAAAAGTCTTTAAACAAAAAAGGAAACACTTGTTGTAGTGAGTTATTAAACCGAACTGGTTGATAATGTGTAATGCAAGCATCTACAAAACTGTGCTTGTCCTTTTTTTGAATTTTTCTACTGTTTTAGAAAATAAACGATTTTTCAACTAGACCCAGTCCCCTAAGGCAATTTTATCCCATCTTAACCCCTTCGCATTCTTTATAATTTAGCATTAAGTAAAAATAGGTTGTTTCTGTGTCCGTTGTTCAAAGAAAACGTTGCTTTGTCATTATGTACGTATAGTCGCAGCCTTTACGCGCTATAGTTTTTAACACACAAACTTTATTCTAGAACTTCTACAACTAGTGAAGGGTAACAAGTGAACCGATAAGAAGTATAGCGGTACTGAAAAATAACAATTAAACAAATACAAAGTCAAGACAAAATAACCTACAAACTGAACGAAAGCAATAAGGCAAAGAAATGCGAATGAAACAAACGAGATACTTACAAGACGATAGTGAGATAAGGACGAAATACTAGGACGAGCAAAGACCCAAACATTAAACTGTAAACTGGACCAAGCGCAACTAACGAAGAACTGACGCGAAAATTACAATAAAAGCTAAATATACGATATGCAGAAAAACCTAACACGAAGGACAAAGCTACGCCTACAATGAAAAACTAATGAACCAAAAAACAGCACTAAAGGCGCGAACACGAAAATAAATAAAAACGCGGCGAACATAAAAATACTTTAAAGGTAACGGAAAACATTCCTGGCGCTTACATTATGGTAAGAGCACTTATTCTTCCTTCAGGTATTTACCTCATAATTTGGGTGGGGCATGGTTTGCATTAGGTAACATCGGCTGACACCAGATTGTTTCTTTCACTAAAATTACATGAAGAACAACTTAATTACAACAATAAAATAAGATAGATAAACAGAACTGGAATAATTTGAACTGGAGTCATTTTCTTTAAGACATGACAAGACAAGCCAATTTATTATCATGATATTGTGTACAATTTCTTGGCACGCAGTTAGCCAAAAGCGCCAGTCGAGGCGTGCCAAATTAGTGTATGTGTAATCAAATGGTGACAAAGTGAAACTAGGGCAATAATTTCACCTGCGTTTTGTCCAAATCCTTATAATTTCCCGAGCCTTTAAGTGAGGGAAATTATTGGGATTTGCATGACAAAACGTAAGTGAAAATATTCCCTAATTTCAGGAGTATACCATTTGATTAACTATTAATATCATGGGTGACGAATTAGTATATTGATCTATTGGATTTGATTATGTCTTGAAAACTAAATTCAGTTCATTCTATTAGCTTTCTATCTACATTATCCTTCCAGCTTCTCATGTAATCTGCCTTATTTCTCCTGAGAATCTTTGTTTTTTTTTTGTTTTTTTTCCCAAATGTTATTAATACTAGTCAGTATTCAGTATTCACCTTATTTTAATGTATTGTACGATAATAATTAATTTTACTTAGTATTGTAATTGTATTGTAATTGTAATTATTCACTTTGTACTTAGTATTCAGCTTATTTTAATGTATTGTGCGATAATAATTAATTCTATTTAGTATTGTAATTGTATTGTAATTGTAATTATTCACTTTGTATTTAGTATTCAGTTTATTTTAATGTATTGTACGATAATAATTAATTCTACTTAGTATTTTAATTGTATTGTTATTGTAATTATTCTACTTAGTGTCAAGCCACTGCTCGCCTCGAATAGCTATAGCTAACTGCGAGCAGTGGTACATCATATTTTGTATTTTTCTCAATTTTTCTTAATAAACTTGAACTTGAACTTGAACTTGAATTACCTCAGCAATCTTGGATTTCTGACATGTTTATCCGGGATGATATCGATCGAGAACTCCACTCTCTCGAACGTTTAGAGCTTAAATTTGGCTTAAGTTCAGAATTTTTCGACAAAATACCTGTTAGAATCCTTCTTGATGTGCTCTTTCGTGTGGTCAGGTTTTCTAAAGCGTCTTTTTATGCCCTAGCATCTTCATTCGTGAAATTTCAAACTTCGTCGCTATCTTGACACTGAGACGTACGGAAGGTTGCCATGGCAATTTTGTAATTTCACATGTGAAATTAAAAAATTATCGCTGAAATTTTGCACCAAAATTAAGGAGTAATTCGTCACCTATGATATTAACACTATTACAAAACAGATATTACCTGATAATAAGAGAAAAGCAAAAAGAAAAGAAAAGAAAGAATATGTATAATAAAGTCAAAAGCAAGAAAGAAAAATCTGTTTAACGCAAGTTGTGAAAGACTGAAGCTAAGGCTAATGCTTCATAACCTACACATCCACATCCACTACACTATCGAGGACTAGCTGCCAAATCCCGAAATTTTTAAAATATACATGTACGTATGCCATATATCACATTGCAATACTTGAAAGCCAACCGTCGCGGTTCGCAGCTTAACCCTAATCAATACAGATCAGTGCTTAACCCTCTAGTATGCTCTCTCCATAACTGGCGCTGTGCAGTTTTGTTTGTTTGTTTGTTTGTTTTTTAGTAATTCTACAAGGTTCGAGTCTCGTTACGTTAAGAGAATAATGCGTTGTGTAAACTTCATAAGGTGTCCAAACTGGCTTCACCCGATCTTATATAATGCTAACCGTCTCAGTTGCGTAAGACTGGGTCTCAAATTGTCCAATGAGACTGTTTCGGGGAACAAATGTAGACCCATTTCCCTCGCAGCGCTCCCTCGCAACAATTTGCACAATAAAGTCAAACCTTGGTGCGCCTTTTTCTCCTTTAATACGGTCTTCACGCTACCAAATTTGTATTGCTGAATGTCTTTACTCTTAAAGAGACAATTTGTTCAGGAATTTATTTCAAAATCACGACCGAAGAGTACAAAAAGTCCACGTCCGACTGACGTGCGTCGCTCAAAAACATCGTTGCTTAAACTCCCTATTGACGTTTCAGTGACTGACGTATAATCAAAGCACCTCCCAAATTTGATCAGCATCAGCTGGTTATGAACACTTGGCTGGGTAATAAAGCCAGTCAGAAACGGATAAATTATTTGAATTAATGAAATAAAAACTAATATCTCAACTTTTCTGTAAAGTGAATTGAATGATATTGAATTCAGGACTTGACTTGACTTGGCCTGTACATATGTATATCTTAAAAATATAAATAGTCGCTCCCAAACATATTTTCCGTGGGACTTAATAAGGTCATTTATATGATAGAACTCATTTGAAACCAGCTGAGTAATCAGAATATTAACTAGTTTGAACAATTTGTAATCTTCTCATTTACAATCTTTGCTTTCAAAAATTTAACTGCACCGTGGCAAACTCTTTCTTCTACTTTGGTTCGACGAATTTCCTCGCCAAGAAACAGTTGCTCTCTTTAGTGTCGTCCGAGACGATGACATTTTTCCAGGTTGTTTGCCTCTGCGGTCTTTTTTTCGTGGCTGTTATCGCAGAATCCAAGGATCCCGAAAAGGAGCTCTTTGAGCTCGCGGATTTGGACTTCGATAACATGGGACCGGACATGAGCAAACCCATAAATATGGAGGTAGGTGCTTAGTCTTCTTATTCGTAGAGAGTTTAAATTTAAGCCTGGCTTTCATTTAGACGTGTTGAAATAACAGTCAAGAAAAAAAGGTATAATTCTTATCAGAATTATACTAACTCCCCAGCACCCATTAAAACAGGGACACCCAACGTCAGTTTTTGGAAAATATCTGTTCGGAAGACGATCTGAGGTCTGGAATTTTCGGAGCACTTGTTGTAAAATTTCTTGCTTGCCTGCCTCTCCTAGGATTTTCGAACATCTAAAAAATGGTATAATTGCCCATTTTTAACGGGTTTTTACCGTAAAAAGGTCACCTAGAATTTTCGGGAGCCTTTTATCTCGCTGAAATTTTCGAACAGGTAAGTTTTGATCCCTATAATTTTCGTATCACTAGACTTTCAGCTAGGAAATCCGAACAGATGAAAAATTTTTAGGGGGTAAGAAATGCCTATATCTGCTGTATAAATATTAAAATACGTTCGACAATGCAATGTTTAAGTGGTTTTGAACTATATTCTCGTTGGGTGCCCCTGTTAAAATAGTAAATTAAACAGCAAGCAGCAAGCTACTGTCGACAAAAGTTTTAAAAAGGAAAGGCCTGAATAAGTCATAATAAACTAGACTTGAAAACAGGTGTGCTTTGCTTAGAAAACACACAAAAATAAAGTATTCATGCGATTTCACAGAAAATTAAGCACTCGACTCTGCGTAATATTAATTATAACGAACAGCAACATGAATGATCATTGTTTAAAATATATAATGATCGAACACGCGCCGCAAAAAATAAAGAGTACCAGCTTGTACACCTTATAGAAAAAAAATGATTGGGAATATATTCCTAGTTTTCATGACTTGTATGGTCGGACACGTTAGTCATGGATATATTCACAGATTAAAACCATGGATACATATTTGTAAATTTAGCATCTTTCATTCTTTCAGCATATCAAAAATACTCGAAACAAACGCTAAAAGAATTTTTTTTTTTAAGAATTTGACTACTGTTTAGAAAAAGATCAGATGGAATTAAAAAATGGATAGTTATGGATTCAGGCTATCTTTTTAATACTTATGTAATCAACACCCTACCTACTTGTATTTCAAAGGCAATCTCAACAATCCTTTTGTCACACTTTCAGAAAACTCTGTGCTACATGTCAATTTTTTCTAATCGAATATGTATCCAAAAAAATCGATAATTTTTTTTAAAGCAGACTTTTTCAGAGAAAGGTGCAACTTCACGCTGCCGCTTTTGGGCGTCGATATTGATATGTTTGGTTAGGAGAGAACTGACCTCTCGCCGCAGCGCAAGGATCTTCGCTCGCGCGTAATGATGAGCACGCGCGACGTAGCTTATGTAGACTTGCTACAAGTCGACCTCTCATAAGTTCTTCAAAGTGAGCGAAGCGAGCTTCAATGCATGAGATCGCACAGCGAGCGACGAATGGCATAACAAACCAGGAAAAAATAAAGGACTTTTAGAAAGTCTAGTAACTTATGTTGAGTTGATTGCATCCTTAGGTAGTACAATCCTGTGTTTAACTCCCATCCATGAACTTAAATAACCTCAACACTTTCACGTAACGTACCCATGGTAGAATAGTTCATATAATGAATCACCGTAGTTTGGCCATATAATGTGCAGTTACAACCTACCCGAGAAACATGTAAACGTCACCCCTTCTTCGGGGACGGGAAGTGCCACCACAACACTCAGGCGACACAGACCAGTTCATGTTTTATAGAGAGGAGAAGTGTGATGCCACGTTACCACGGTAGCACTATTTCTGGATGACAAGAAAACCAACGACGACGGCGACGGCATAGACTGCGATCAACCTCTCTTTTTCTTCAGCTTTAGTGAGAGGAGTGCCTGGTCATTTGCGTGTCTCGTGCGTTTTGCTCGACGGACAAAGAAACAAGAGAGACTGGTCATAGTCTGGCGACCGCAAGGAGAACGGCAAAAAATAATACGTCAACAAACAACAACTTTGCACGTGCGTCACGCTTTTTTGTACATTTCTTTGCCAACGTTGCACCACTACAACATGAAACTTCCTAATTTCACAAGCCCACTTTATGGAGTAGGTGAATACAACACAAAAATCATGAAATTGTCTCTTTCTTTTTCTAAACTTAGCTAACGATAGATACGGTCCCAAAGAAATTTCGGCAAGATTTGCCAAATTAAATGAAATTGAATAAGATCGGTGAAGTTTGAAATAGTGCGAATAGAATAAGTGACTTTAACGGTTTGTTGTCATCCAAAAATTTTGCTACCATGGCAACGTGACGTAAGAACTTCTCCTCTCTATTGATGGCAATTTTGAAAAGTTAAGCCCAACCTCGTTCCCAGGGTCTTCTCAGGGTCTTAAAAAACGAGAAGACCCTGTGGACGAAATTGAGTAAAGTCGAAACAGTTATTCACCAGGTTTCCCCGCGAGTAAAAGAGGCTTCATTTTCCAGAGTTAGCCTAAAAACACGCTCTCAGAATTGGTGGTAATTAGCACAAATTTAGGCAAATAAGGAATCTTTTTTTTTTCTGAAAAATAAAATTACATTATGGTTAAAAGAATTTAGTGCCATTCAACCTATCCTTACACATACGTTTTGAAATTGATTGATTTGAAATCTGCGTGCTATTATTTGACTGCTATACTTGCAGCAAATAAAGTATTTATGTAAGGACGACTATAATAGAAAAAGTTAAAGCATTGATCTCTTGAATTTTGATGTCCTCTTTCAGAGAAGGCGTTATTTTAAATAGATTTTGGAAAATAGGAATCGTTTTCCAATTTAAGGCTAAACGGGTTGTTGTAAATGGAAGGTCTAATAGCAAAATTTTATTTTAACAGGATCTTAAAAGCTAAGTTTTTACTAGCGGGTAGCTGGTTCTGTAGCCACTGGTAAAGTAAGGGGGATATTAAATAACAATACAGTTTATGGACTTACATTTCAATTACCATACTTTCAATTACTCTTTTTTCATCCGCTGATGCGCTGAAGATTACTTATCATCTTATTTTAGTTCTTTTAACAACTAAAAGACCTCATGTTCCGGGAATGGTACGATGTATCAATATTCTTATCAATTTTGTTTCCTTTTTTCTTGTAGGTTGTTATTAAGGAATTTACTTCTTGCGTTTCTAAAGATCACGGCAGAGCCAAGCCACGTTGTATAAAGGAATTGGGAATGATGCTCCAACACCTTCCCGCAATGAAAAGGAAGCAAATTGTAAGTTCCGGCTATAAGCATGCATGCACTGCAGTTTCTAATTGATTTATCAATGGCGTGACTTCTGGCGGGTTAACCCAAAGCATGTATCGTGTCTATTTCAGGAGTACCCAACGAGTGTTTTCTTTGAATTATCTGTTCGGAGAATCAAACTTGCCCATGATTTTCCATTGCTTGAGGACGGCTAGAAATTTCTAGATGACCGTTCTGTTCAAGGAAAAATTTTCGAAGCTTATCTGATAAATTCCCTAAGATTTTCTGAGGTTTAATTTTTCACATTTTACTCTCCATCTTAGGCTTATTTTCGTACAAAAAGGAAATCTAAACTTTTCGGATTCAAAAATAAGATGGATAGATGAATACTAAAGAGCAATTCTCACTTTCGTAAAACGTTCAATTGCATCTAAAACTCTCGGGAAAATAATACTGAAGCCCTTGTAATTTCGAAAAGACTTAAGTTATCCTAGAATGATCGAACAGATACAAATTTTATAGCGCCGCTTAGAATGCATTTCTAGAGATCTAAAAGTACTCAGGATTGCCTAAAAAGAGTTTTCAATGTCTTTAGGAGGAAACCATCTTTAGTTGCCCCTGCTACTTTAAGCCCTAAGAGTGATCAGCATCAAATTTCTCCTTACAATATCAATGTTTGTAAAACAGAGTGCTCATGAGAATTACGGACATGATCACACAAGATGAATTTGCTTGACATTTTATCAACTTCTCTCCACTACTTCTGTAGGAGATGAATGGGGTCAACAAATGAGAATTCAAATTTTGATCCTGAGATGAATCAGGAAATCATTTTGATTTATCACAGATCAGATGATTGCATAGTGGGGGCGGATGTGCAAGAATCAGTTCTAGACTGCATGGGACAAAACGTTTTCTTGGGTAAAACTCTGTTACAGTATACCTTTTCCACCCTTCTTGGCCGTAGCAGGTCATTTTCTCGTTGACTTAATAATCTTAACTTAGATCCTTCTATGCGATCCTGCGATGGACTAAAAAAACAAATTTTCTCAGCTCTTGGTCGTCCGATTACCACTTATGTTTCTTAATAGTGAAATGGCTTCTGAAAAAAAAGAAAACCGATAGCAGGACATGGCGGCTTTCAGTGATAGTGAAGGATATCCCCGAGGGGGGGGGGGGCACTCAACGAAGTTTTATACGGGGAGGCTCCGCCTGGAGGTCCAACTCCTTAGCCTCCTTTGTACCCTCTTTTGATAAATGGTACCCCTTTAACATTCCTAGTTTAGAACGTTGCATCCATTTTTACAGCTGTAAATGCACTGTCTCTTAAATATGAATAAACCACGAAACCACGAAGTTTTCTTGACTTCTGCACGGCAGAAGCCCTTTAACTCCTTTTACACCAATACTGAGTAAATAAAAGATTTCTTTACACTATCATATCTCTCAACTAGTGAAACCACTACCCCCTTTGTTAGCCCTTCTGACTCATTTGACACCATTACTGAGTAAATGACAGATTTCTTTACCCTACAGTATCTTTCAACTGGTGAAACCCCTACTCCCTTTATTAGCCCTTCTGACTCATTTGACACCATTACTGAGTAAATGACAGATTTCTTTACCCTACAGTATCTTTCAACTGGTGAAACCCCTACTCCCTTTGTTAGCCTTTCTGACTCATGTGACACCATTACTGTGTAAATGACAGATTTCTTTACCCTATCATATATTTTAGCCAGTGAAACCCCTACCCATTCATATATCTTGAACCTGAAAACGGAACCCCCTTCTGGCGGAGCCGCCCCGATTATTATAGGGAGTACCCCCAGGTTTGATGCTGAGTATTTTTATTAAAAAATGAATTATTAGATAATGCAATTCTAGAGCTCTGATTGGCTTAGCCATCATGGTATATGAGCCATTATTCCATGCTCCCCACATATGATAACTGTACGCGTCTGGTCAGAATTAAAAACAAGCTGAAATCGGTTGTTTTTACAAATAAAGTCGGGAAGAATTCTCGATATTTTGTGGGCGTTTTTAATAGAACAATTATTTCACTCGCGCTTGTTGGATATGAAATAAGTATAGCCAACTCACATCCAACGCGCACTCGTGGAATAATTGTTGAATACACTGCAAAGCATTATAAGAACCACTTTCCAGAAAGAGAATGGGATCTGACCATTTGCTTGGCCTTAGCCATTTAGATTCAAAGTAGTCCCTTGAATACCCTGCGAGCAGAGTGTCCTTCTGTCTTTTTTGATGAGGAGAAGAAAAGCGAAAAGGGGGCTTTGCCTGAATCGCGTCAAGCCTTTTGAGGTCGCCGCAGCCAAAACGTCTTGACTAATCAATCTTGCTCTTTCAAACGATTCTTTCAAACTGGTTTTACGAGTGCAAGTATTCGTTTATTGATAAACCGATGGTCATAACTGAGCCCGTTGAACCAAGCGCGCGGCTATTAGGCCTGGGTTCGGAAATGTATCCTAGCAACATGCAGCGCATGCTCAGCAAAGATCAAATTCGATTCAGGCAGAGTCTTTCTCGAGTACACCAATCAAGAAAGCCAAAGAAAGATTGTGCAGGCAGGGTGCCCCTTGAGTTACGCATAAAAAAGGTCAAATACAGACAGCATTATACCTTTTGTTGATATGGAATTCTGTGATGAGTATGTTGTAAAAAGATTTTTTTCCGTTTTTTTTAGATTAAATGCTTCAAAGACGCATTTCGCCCATGCCGCAAACAACCGAAGGGTCGCGAATTCGGGGAGTGTATGAAAGCCATTAAAAAATGCTTGCCTTACGAAGAAGAAGAAATGGCTGGATCAGGATGGTTCCGCTGAAATCATTAAATACCCTTTTGAATGGCACCACTAACCACGCTAATCTTAAACAAATAAAATCCTTTGTGGAAGAGCAAATCTTTGAATTGTTTCAATTTAGCTTTACTGGAAATATATCGATTACGTTGTCCTCACCCAAGCATACTAAGGCCCTATCCATAATAATGGTGTTCGTTATCATCGAAAACGCATCGATTGATCGATTCGCGTCCACGCTACCATTTTGATGCGCTTTGGACTTTCTAAAACTAGAACGTTCGAAAGCGATAGAATTGCACGTTGTGACGTAAGTTGGACTCTATGCGTATGCTACAGGCACGCGCGCCTGTGATATATTCGATCATTGTTTTCACTTTGATGCGTTTTCGACCGTTTTTGACCGTCCACAATAATACGATATGTATGCGTTTTCGTTTTGATTCACTTTCAAGAGCGTTTTTAAATGGTTACGTTTTCTGTGAAAACGCTCAGTGTATTAGTGTGGAAGGAAGGCATGAACGCATCCAAATGTATGCCTTTTCAAACAATAGGGCCATTTATTCGAGGAAAAATAAGACGCGTCTTAAATAAGACGCGAACTGTACCATTTATACGAGCATGTCTTATCTAATAAGACGCGTCTTAGCTAAGCCGCGTCTTATTTTAGACGAAATGTGCCGTTTATACGGAAAGTTCGCGTCTTATTTAAGACGCGTCTTATGTAAGACACGTCTTATTTTTCCTCGTATAAATGGCCCTAATGACGCATTAATGTGGACGGGGCCTAACTGAGTCGAAACTGATAGGATACCGGGATCAGGGACGCACACCTGAGAGGTTGCTAATAGCTTTACCCGCCTTACAGCCTTATATATGCTTATAGGTACCTTAAGGTCCAACGACGGCGACGGCAACGTGAACGCCACAAAAGCAATAATTAGGATTAATTAACAAAACAACAATTTTGCACGTGCTCACGCTTTTTTGTACATTTCTTTGCCGTCACTGCACGACTACGGCGTGAAAATGCCTAGTTTCACTATGTACAGAGGAAGTACACAAGCGACGACGAAATTTCCTCCCTCTTTCTGAAGTTGGATATGGTTCTTAGAAATTCAATTTTAGGAGGGTTCGCCTACATTTGACAAAGTTAGTGACTTGGAGTAATCGCGATGAAGATTGAAAGAACGCGAATTCACTTTTTCAGCGACGTTTCTCTGCGTCCCCGTCCTCGGATCTTAAGGTCCTTTATACCAGGAAGGAGGGAGTGTCTCCAAGGAATTTGGTGGTTCAGTTCTCGTGCCAATGTGACGTCACGTCTCACTTCGGTGACTTTTCAAAATGGTGGGCATAATCATCGTTGNCGAAATGTGCCGTTTATACGGAAAGTTCGCGTCTTATTTAAGACGCGTCTTATGTAAGACACGTCTTATTTTTCCTCGTATAAATGGCCCTAATGACGCATTAATGTGGACGGGGCCTAACTGAGTCGAAACTGATAGGATACCGGGATCAGGGACGCACACCTGAGAGGTTGCTAATAGCTTTACCCGCCTTACAGCCTTATATATGCTTATAGGTACCTTAAGGTCCAACGACGGCGACGGCAACGTGAACGCCACAAAAGCAATAATTAGGATTAATTAACAAAACAACAATTTTGCACGTGCTCACGCTTTTTTGTACATTTCTTTGCCGTCACTGCACGACTACGGCGTGAAAATGCCTAGTTTCACTATGTACAGAGGAAGTACACAAGCGACGACGAAATTTCCTCCCTCTTTCTGAAGTTGGATATGGTTCTTAGAAATTCAATTTTAGGAGGGTTCGCCTACATTTGACAAAGTTAGTGACTTGGAGTAATCGCGATGAAGATTGAAAGAACGCGAATTCACTTTTTCAGCGACGTTTCTCTGCGTCCCCGTCCTCGGATCTTAAGGTCCTTTATACCAGGAAGGAGGGAGTGTCTCCAAGGAATTTGGTGGTTCAGTTCTCGTGCCAATGTGACGTCACGTCTCACTTCGGTGACTTTTCAAAATGGTGGGCATAATCATCGTTGACGAGGACGATAAAATAATAGAATTCCTCATGGATATGATACCTTGTTTAATTTTCTTAGATTTTCTTAAGATTCCCATTGAAATAGAAACCCAGTGTATTGTCCTTATTTTGGATGAAACCTTCAGGATGTAATAATTTTTAAAGATCCCTTTCGATCGTCAAGCTTGACTTCGATTGACTGTCGAGCAGTCCTATCTACCGGTCACACTTTCGAGGGCCAGTTCACAGTGATTTTGTGCTAAAAGTATTCACCTTGCGCTCTCATTAGCTACTTCAAATTTCAACTGACATCTAAGAGACTGTGCCATAATAAGCATGCAGGAGGGGAGGGGTCAGGCTCTAAAATGAGTAAAACAAGGGTAAAAGTTAACTCGACCCTTCCCCCCGTTATAACGGCTGAAATACATCTTCCTACCCTCCCTGTTGAAAAAAGATATTTAAGGTACAACCCCTTGCACCTTGACACCAATATGCCCAATGTCCAGGAACAATGGGTCGTAAAACCCTACCAGAAACAACACACTGTATTTCACCTTTCGACATTCACCTGCCTGAAATATTTGTCTTAGAATGGGAATTGACAACCGAGGATACGCAAGGAATCGATGTTTAGTTAGTTTGTGAAGAAAAGCAAAAAGAAAAGAAAAGAAAGAATATGTATAATAAAGTCAAAAGCAAGAAAGAAAAATCTGTTTAACGCAAGTTGTGAAAGACTGAAGCTAAGGCTAATGCTTCATAACCTACACATCCACATCCACTACACTATCGAGGACTAGCTGTCAAATCCCGAAATTTTTAAAATATACATGTACGTATGCCATATATCACATTGCAATACTTGAAAGCTAACCGTCGCGGTTCGCTGCTTAACCCTAATCAATACAGATCAGTGCTTAACCCTCTAGTATGCTCTCTCCATAACTGGCGCTGTGCAGTTTTGTTTGTTTGTTTGTTTGTTTTTTAGCAATTCTACAAGGTTCGAGTCTCGTTACGTTAAGAGAATAATGCGTTGTGTAAACTTCATAAGGTGTCCAAACTGGCTTCACCCGATCTTATATAATGCTAACCGTCTCAGTTGCGTAAGACTGGGTCTCAAATTGTCCAATGAGACTGTTTCGGGGAACAAATGTAGACCCATTTCCCTCGCAGCGCTCCCTCGCAACAATTTGCACAATAAAGTCAAACCTTGGTGCGCCTTTTTCTCCTTTAATACGGTCTTCACGCTACCAAATTTGTATTGCTGAATGTCTTTACTCTTAAAGAGACAATTTGTTCAGGAATTTATTTCAAAATCACGACCGAAGAGTACAAAAAGTCCACGTCCGACTGACGTGCGTCGCTCAAAAACATCGTTGCTTAAACTCCCTATTGACGTTTCAGTGACTGACGTATAATCAAAGCACCTCCCAAATTTGATCAGCACCAGCTGGTTATGAACACTTGACTTGGTAATAAAGCCAGTCAGAAACGGATAAATTATTTGAATGAATGAAATAAAAACCTAATATCTCAACTTTTCTGTAAAGTGAATTGAATGATATTGAATTCAGAACTTGACTTGACTTGGCCTGTACATATGTATATCTTAAAAATATAAATAGTCGCTCCCAAACATATTTTCCGTGGGACTTAATAAGGTCATTTATATGATAGAACTCATTTGAAACCAGCTGAGTAATCAGAATATTAACTAGTTTGAACAATTTGTAATCTTCTCATTTACAATCTTTGCTTTCAAAAATTTAACTGCACCGTGGCAAACTCTTTCTTCTACTTTGGTTCGACGAATTTCCTCGCCAAGAAACAGTTGCTCTCTTTAGTGTCGTCCGAGACGATGACATTTTTCCAGGTTGTTTGCCTCTGCGGTCTTTTTTTCGTGGCTGTTATCGCAGAATCCAAGGATCCCGAAAAGGAGCTCTTTGAGCTCGCGGATTTGGACTTCGATAACATGGGACCGGACATGAGCAAACCCATAAATATGGAGGTAGGTGCTTAGTCTTCTTATTCGTAGAGAGTTTAAATTTAAGCCTGGCTTTCATTTAGACGTGTTGAAATAACAGTCAAGAAAAAAAGGTATAATTCTTATCAGAATTATACTAACTCCCCAGCACCCATTAAAACAGGGACACCCAACGTCAGTTTTTGGAAAATATCTGTTCGGAAGACGATCTGAGGTCTGGAATTTTCGGAGCACTTGTTGTAAAATTTCTTGCTTGCCTGCCTCTCCTAGGATTTTCGAACATCTAAAAAATGGTATAATTGCCCATTTTTAACGGGTTTTTACCGTAAAAAGGTCACCTAGAATTTTCGGGAGCCTTTTATCTCGCTGAAATTTTCGAACAGGTAAGTTTTGATCCCTATAATTTTCGTATCACTAGACTTTCAGCTAGAAATCCGAACAGATGAAAAATTTTTAGAGGGTAAAAAATGCCTATATCTGCTGTTTAAATACTAAAATACGTTCGACAATGCAATGTTTAAGTGGTTTTGAACTATATTCTCGTTGGGTGCCCCTGTTAAAATAGTAAATTAAACAGCAAGCAGCAAGCTACTGTCGACAAAAGTTTTAAAAAGGAAAGGCCTGAATAAGTCATAATAAACTAGACTTGAAAACAGGTGTGCTTTGCTTAGAAAACACACAAA